TGGCTCAGTGGGTTAAGCCTCTGCCTTTGGCTCAGGTCATGATCCCAGAGTCCTGGGATCGAGCCCTGCATCGGGGTCTCTGCTCGGCAGAGAGCCTGCTTCCTCCTCTCTCTCTGCCTGCCTCTCTGCCTACTTGTGATCTCTATCAAATAAATAAATAAAACCTTTAAAAAAAAAAATTCACTTTTGGGCGCCTGGGTAGCTCAGTAGGTTAAAGCCTTTGCCTTGGGCTCAGGTCATGATCCCAGGGTCCTGGGATCAAGCCCCACATCGGGCTTTCTGCTCAGCAGGAAGCCTGATTCCCGCCCCCCCAACCTCTCTGCCTACTTGTGATCTCTGCCTGTCAAATAAATAAATAAAATCTTTTTAAAACATTCAATTGTTAGCTTAAAACAATGCATTAAGAATAGACATATACACAGAAAATGTATTTATCATTGTGTAGTGTGGGAAGGAGATGGGGTGTTACCAGTAATGGGCATCAGGATCTTAATGTGGTGATGGAAATATTCTAAAACTGATTTATGGTGATGTTGCATCACTTGGTAAACTGGCAAATTTACTTAAAATATCATTATACTTCAAGTGAGTGGATTATACGATATATATGTTATATGACATATAAAATATGATATATGATACATGATATATAAATGTCTCAACAATATTATATATATAAATGAATGTAATGAATGAGAGAAGCCAGACACCAAAAAACATATGCTATATGAATTCATATATTTAAATTGTAAAATGGGCAAAACAAGGTATTAGAAGCTCAACAGCAATAAAACTTGGGGCGGGGTGGAGTATGGCTGGTGCAGAGTTTAATGGAATACCTCTGAGATGCTGTTAATGTTCTATGTATTAACCAGAGCTTGGTTTGTGAAAATCCACTGAGTTGTAGATATTTATGATATGTGCAATTTTCCGAATGTGTATTATACCTCAATAAATGTATACTATATACACATACATATATACCTGTTCACAAATGCCTTTTCAATTTGAATAATAGAAGCAATTCCACATAAAGTAATACTATTACACCACATATTTAAAATATGTGTCCAAAAAGATGGTATGAGGAAATCATACGATACTCAAACTTCCCACATGTAGATGGAGTTTTTGTCCAACTACTAAGAAGAACTCCAACAGGACTTTGTACTGACAACAGGGAGAGCATGAAGCTAGTTTATCATCAATTTATAGAGGTTTCTTAAGAGCATGTGAACTCAGTCTGTGTGGAGGTTGGTGGGGTGCTGGCCTCAGGAAGTGGCACATTTCAAAGAGGCTTTGGAGAGACTAGATAGTGCAGAGCAGGCACCAATAAGCTTTGGAAGCCATGGCAGAAGAGGTTGGGTGAGGGGTCATTGAAGGGAATCTGTCCCCTCATGCTCTTTTGGGTGCCTTATAAGCCAAATATATCTTATATATCTAATATATTATAAATCTAGTATCACTTTTTTCTCTTCTGGTTCCACCAATGTTGCCATCCTTCAAGGAAGGACCAGCTGAACCTTCCCTTCCAGGGAAGACTCTTTAATATTATCTGGCCAAAAGAGCTTTCCTCCTTTTTTTCAACTCCTCAATAAACATAAATGATGTAAAAATAAAACACTGAGCAAATAATCTAGCTGTTTGTGTATTATCTGCCAAAAAGCTATAGGTGTGTGGGCAGGAACCATGCCTGGCTTATTCATCCACCAAACTCCAAAGTTGTCACGGGGCACTGCACGTTGCGGAATTTCAAGTGTTGGTGGAGTTAAAAATGGAAATATTTCCATTAATAGCTGAAGATAACGCAAAACCTCAGCTGCATTCAAAATGTAAAATTTTTGCAGTTATCAGTTGCCAACAGTCATTTTTCACATTTAGGTTCTAAAGCTCTATGTACCATTTTTCAAATCTCTGAAACGTGTCAATGTAAAATAGAAAAAGAGCAAAAATCACTCAGATACTAGAATTAAGATTTTAAGTGGCATGACACCATCAGAGAGCACATTTAGTTATTTATTCACACACCATTAAACATCAGAAAGTAGTTTTAGGTAAAATCAACAGAAGGTCTGCCCTCTAGAAGCCGACAATTTACTTTAGACAAGACGTCTCTGGGGTGTGATAATGCGGGTGCAGTAATGTTTAGGGGCAATAAAGAAGGATGCAGACGATAACAAGGGAGTGAAAACAGAAGTTCTGAGAAGGATAAGGAAATGTGTTCTGACATTTTAATAAGTCTTCTAGTAGGATAACGAAAGAAGAAAAGCACAGAACTTCCAGAGGGGATGCGGGCAAAATGGCAACAGAATACACTTGGATTTGAGAAAACGAGGTGTCATCCACCAGACAGTGAAGGGTCTGGTTCCTCTAGAGAAGGTTTCAGACGGCAAAGTTCTACTGGGGAAAAATATGGACATTACGTGCCATCCCCTTTTGATGCAAGTCCCCAGTTTTTCATACAAAACTAACATTTTATTATACAGTTTTATTTATGTATTTGTTCAATGTGTATTCAAACATCTACATGAAAACTATTTCATGTCTGTCCTTGCCTATGACACATCTAATTTATGAGGGTGAAGTGAGTTACAAAGGCTGTTTAACAAGGTTATACAAGGATACACGAAAACATTTTGTATTTTGTAATATAATTCTCCGATCCAGAGACACACTTAAAAATGTGTAGACACTGATACAATGTATTTCTAGAACTTTAAATGAGTGAAAACAGTAACTATCTAAATATCTCTTAGAAAAGTTTCCCCATTATAATCTAAATTCAAATGGATCATTGAAGCTCTCCGTATTGTTATTATTATGATACATCCACATCATAATTAGAAATTATTAGCATTATTTAATATGCTGTCACTGGCAAAACAGTGAAAGTTCATTAATTATAAAGCAGCTGAAGCAGACGTGGCCATCTCATCTCTTGGGAATTTACAAGATGGAACCTGATTTCTTCTAAGAGTCAAAAGCATTTAATTTGGGCAAGTATAAATGTAGTATATTTAGCAGTCCAAATACAACCAAGGAATTCGCCTCCATGCAGAATTAACCACAGTTATTTGAGCTGACAATTCTTACTTGAGAAACCACCAGGGGGCTTCCACAAATGATTCACTCAGGGTGCTTAAAGCAATTTTACTCTTCAGATTTGTCACTTTACAGACACATCCCATATAATTCAGCAGCTTGAGAGGATCCATTGTAACTATTTTTTGCAATAATTATAAGATTAAGGGCTTATTTTGGGAGCCATTAATAATATCAATAAGAGGATTAAAACAATTTCAATGAAAATCATAAAGAGATCAAAGAGCTACTAAAGTTAATGGTTCTGCCACATTTAAAATGAAAAGCTAATCACAGAAAAGCAGAATTTCCTCCTCAGCTCACACCTCAAATGGATTCAAAGAATCTATTTTTTTATCTGTTGGGTCTGGCAGAAATAAATAAAATAAAATAACCATTTAGTCTTAATGCTCATTCATACTCCACATGGAAAACCACTCAGGACAGACACCATTATAACACCTACAGATCATGAATTAATTAGATTTTTTTTGGCATAACATCAGAGAATTTAACCATAGTTGGAGGCATGTCAAATGTGTAACAAGAAGAGACACAAAATGAGATGTAACAATGAAAGAGACATACAAGAAGAACCAAATGCTACCAAACTTCTATCACATGGAATCCCCAATATAAAAACCTTATTTCTCATTAATATTCACCATAGCATGAGTTAGCATTTTAGAAATAGACAAACAAAAGCTCTCAGATTTGCCCAGAGAGACCATCATCCTTCAAGTATACTACAGATGTTTTGATCATCAAAAACTGGGCATGTTATAATTTCTAGTAATAATTTATACAATTATTTATAAAAAGAAGATACTATCAATATATTAATCATGCACAAAGATATATATCAGCATTTTAGTCATCAGAATTTTAGACAAAAAGCTAAAAATAATGCAGGCTTTCTCAAGCACTAGAAAGATAAGCCTTGAGAACTATGGTTCTTGTTTTATATACTTGACTTTGTTGATTTTTACATATGCCATGATTTCCCCTATATTTTAAGGACTCCTTAAATAATAGAAGAAAATAACTGGCTAAATAGAAATCCTACTGAAAAAAATAATTTACTAAATAAGTAATTTATTCATTATTTTAAAATTACTTTGTGAGCATATTTAGTCAGAAAATATGAAGGCTTATAGTAAATGAATGACTTTACTAATTTCTAAGAAATCATAGTAATATTGAACAAATATTTAAGAGAGATATACATATAAAATATTTAGCTAATTTATCAAGAAATCTTAGTATAATTTAAACCTTCCATAGTATGGATTCCCATTGACCAGTTTTGTTAGAATTGAAGAACTTCTTTTCTTTATCCAGTGATATTATATGATAACTTATGTTATATTATTTGAATATAGTAATATTTTGAATAGCTTAAATGAATTACATTATATACTAGATAACAAAATAATAGTTTTTCATTGTTTTTCAAGGCCAAATAATCATTAATCAATAGTCTTTTATTACACTTTGATTAATGGTTATAAAAATTATCTATTAACTTTTATTTTTTTCATACACTGACAGAAAATATTTATTAGCAGTAAAATAATTTTTCTGCAATTTGTGGAGAAAATTACAAAAGTCTGTTTTGGAAACTGTGAAAAATAAATTTAGTTTTTTAGCTATTGAGCCCAGTTCTAGAGAAGTCAGAGTACATCATCAAACTTAATAATAATCTAATAAATTTTAATAATTTCCAAATGCCATTTGCAATCTCTAATGCTAGCATTTTAGTGATATGGGAAACCAGTTAAATTGAAAAAGTAGCTCAAATTATTCTAAAATATATAATGCTATTTGTGTTCTTACCTATGCTCAGTATGCCACACAGACTCATGGTTAAGAATTTATACGAAATGTACACACAAAAAAGAATATTAGAAGTATCATACCTTTGAGACATAATCTTATAGGCATCTGGCAGATAGCATCGTATGTTCTCCATCTGAGCAGGGTCAGAGTCACAAATTTTGTCATCAGTCCTTCCATAGTTGGCACTTTCTATCATGATGACATCTGTTCCTGGACAGCGGAGCTCTATGGGGTAGCTCTCACAGGAGAGCTCTCTGCGGACCACAGCCATCGGAATTGGGGCACGGCTGAAAGCTACCGGAAGGAGGAGGAAGAACTATTAAGTCATCTTTATTACATACGAAGGAAAAGTACATGTGTTTGCTTTTCCAGTGTTTGGGATAAACTAATACCAAAAAACAAACTAGTTGCAATTAACAATTTTAATTAAAATAGAATATTTTTCACTTTAGTAAATTTACAAGATCTTTAAAAATCTCAGAGTAATAGCTATTTCATAAAACCTTACCTAACACAGTTTTCTTATAAATAAAAGAAAAAGAACACTCAGATTTTCTAAAACTTTGGCTGGTATATGAGGTAAAGTCTATGTAGAAATATTATTGAGTGCGTAGAGATTCTCAGGAAAACCGCAGGGGTACTGTGTGTGCCTTGTTTCATTTTGTTTTATAGAAACTATTACCAAAAATTGCATTTTTAAAAAAGATTTTATTTATTTATTTGACAGAGGAAGAGGGAGACAGAGAGAAAGCACAAGCAGGGGAACACCAGAGGGATAGGGAGACACAGCCTCCCCACTGAGCAGGGAGCCCCAGGCAGGGTGCCATCCCAGGACACTGGGATCATGACAAGAGCCAAAGGTTAACCACTGAGTCATCCAACAAAATCACATTTTTGTTGAATTTATATAATCTTAAGGATTCTATTTTCATTTTAAAACATGGTTTCATTTTTCAGTATTAATTAACATAATCAGTATACTTTATAATGTAATTATACTGATAATAAGTGTTCTTTAGGAAAATAGAGATTTATATGGAGAAAAATTAAATTTTCCTTCAGCTCTCTCCATACACTCTCCCCCACCGTCAAGAGATAACCAGTTAGCATTGTGGTGACCCTCCTATTAGAATTGTCTATAGAAAAACAAATAGACATTTTATGTTTCCTCCTACCCTTCTTTATAGTTCATTCAGTTAGTATTACACTACACATGTTGTTTGATACCTTGATTTATTTTATTTATTCCTTTAATGAACATGTCTTTTCATTTCTGTATTGTAGTCCTCATTTTTAATGGCTGCCTTTTATATACCTATAAACCTTATATAATATATCTTACGTTGATGAGCATTTGGGAATGTCCATGTGTTTTTGTCATAGTACTGTAAGGAAGTATAAAAATATTTGTGTACCATAGCTAAAATATTTTAGAAAACCAAATATATTTTATAGTATATTTTTATAAATGAAACTGATGGACCAAAGGGAAAATATATTTCAAGCTTGGCAAAAATCAACAACTAGATATCTAAAAAACTTAAATAGGTATAGCTCTACCAATAGCACCTTTCATTTCAAAACAACGTATTACCAATTCCCTTAAATTTTGCTAATGTAGTAGACAAATAGTGATACAATATCCTTCTTACAAATTTTTCAGTGTTCTATTTGTACAATGGAATATATTTTCATGTTCATCAGCCTTTCACATTTGTTTTATTTATGAATTGCTTGCTTACATTTATACATGGTTCACTATTGTAAAAGTTCTTTGTTTAATAAGAAAATTTTTTTAAAACTGGTACTTTATATTTGTGGCAAATATGTTCTTTTAGTTTGTTGATTTTAGATGTTTGCTGAACATCCATATATATCTCATTTTTACACAGGGAATTACCCATCATTTCATGTCAAATTTATGTTTCCCACTCCAAGAGTGTGAACATAATCAGTAGGAAGAAAGTCAAATGTTTAACTGTAAAAACTCAAGTTTTCTTTTAAAAGCATAAAACTAAAATTCTAAATTATGTTTACCAATCATCTACTAAGTTGATTTCCACAAATAGGAATAATTATAGAGATACACACATGAAAGCTATAAATATGTATTAATATTTAACTCACTAATGTGTAGATATATAAAATATGAATTTAAATAAATATATGCAACTTTTCTTGTGACTTTTTTACAAAGCATAAAATGTGAAAATAAAAGAAGGGAGGAGAAACAATGAAGTGAAAATAGAGAGGAGGTAGAGAAAGAAATTTTGTTGCTATAAATATTTTCACTTGAAACTTAACATAAATATTGATTTGGGGGGCGCCGGGGTGCCTCAGTTGGTTAAGCATCACCTTGGGCTCAGCTCACTATACTTGAGTCCTGGAATCGAGCCCCACCTTGGGTCTCTTCTCAGTAGGGAGTCTGCTTCTCCCTCTCCCTCTGCCCCTGCTCATGCTCTCTAGCTCACTTTCTGTCTCAAAAAATAGATAACCTTTAAAAAGATAAATTGATTTGGTTTGTGAAACCATACGATTATTTCAAAAATTAAGAATGATACTAGTTTTCACCTCATTTCTACAATGTTTCGGAAAAGCTACAACTGAACCATACACTGCATGCACAACTTCCGAGCAGGTCCCGTAAGAGTCCACGAACAGCACATTCAAGTATTCCATGCTGGATGTTATTCAACATCTTGTTTGCTCTGTCTCTCTCCCACACACACATATACACACAGAAGAATCTAGCGCATCCATATCATTCATCAGAGAGTTAACATAATTAGAGGTTGGTTGTAACATGATTTTTAGTTTGCTCTTGAGTCAACATTTTGACAGGGTATTCCCACAATAGAGAGACACTGAATTTCTGAAATATTCATTTATATTTTTCGTAAAATAAAATATCCTTATTTATCTATCATTCTGAAATTAGGTGGTTGTTTAAACATGAAGTTCTTTTTTTTTTTTTTTTAAAGATTTTATTTATTTATTTGACAGACAGAGATCACAAGTAGGCAGAGAAGCAGGCAGAGAGAGAGGAGGAAACAGACTCTCTGCTGAGCAGAGAGCCCGATGCGGGGCTCAATCCCAGGACCTGGGACCATGACCTGAGCCGAAGGCAGAGGCTTTCACCCACTGAGCCACCCAGGTGCCCCTAAACATGAAGTTCTTTTTAATAATGAGACTTCTAGGGGCGCCTGGGTGGCTCAGTGGGTTAAAGCCTCTGCCTTCGGCTCAGGTCATGGTCCCAGGTCCTGGGATTGAGCCCCGCATCGGGCTCTCTGCTCAGCACGGAGCCTGCTTCCTCCTCTCTCTCTACCTGCCTCTCTGCCTACTTGTGATCTCTACCTGTCAAATAAATAAATAAAATCTTTAAAAAAAAATGAGGTTTCTAAAAAAAAAAAGTGAGATTTCAGTTTTCATTTTCAAGGATAAAGATATTTTCATAATGTATTTAGTATTTTAAGTAATGGAATCGCTGAATAATAAAAGTATTCCAATTTGGGGATCCAGTTTCATGACCTAGGTATGGAATTACAGAGGTTGTTTTTGTTGATTTGGTTTTTATTTTCGGTTTTAATAAAAGGTTTTCCAAATCAGAATTTTCCAGGACATTTTTTAACATTTGCTAAAAGGCAATTTGTTTCTTAACTTTGGTATAACTATTTTTAAAAATAACATTGAAAGTGCTTCCAAACATTGAATTGATCTGGCTATATTTTAACTTAAACAATTAAGTTAAATTACGTTAAAAAATGAGTTAATTTAAGAAGAAAACAAAACAAATAAGCAAATCATACACTTACAGCATTTGTTTGACTAAGTGGACAATTTGCTTAATTAAATGCATCAGTCAAGTTTTGTCAAAAGGTATACACAGGGAAAGCTTTATTCTGGTTCTTAACTGTCAAAAATATGATTTAGAACCAGACACTAGACAGTTTCAAAGCCAACTAAAATGTGGAGGCCAAAATTTTCCATGTATCTCTTTGACCCTGTAAGAATTACACAAAAGTTATGTATTTGGCAATTTTTACAGAGAGCCTGAGTTGATTTGTGGATGCTTTCTTCCATTTAACATATAATTGCATTTGTATCAGTAACCCAGTGATAAATTGCACTCCTAAATGATGGATGTTTTGTTTAAAGGAATGTATTACTGGAAACTATAACATTATCTAATTAGCTATTTAAATTACTTTTAATTATATTGCTAAATGCTTTAATCAGCGACCAAAGTCCAATGGAAAAAAATATGCTTAAGTTAAAAGTTTTTGTTTTGTTTTGTTTTAACCATTCCGTTATCCTGCTAACAATGGAGAGATTTTGCTTAGTAGAGAAAAAAACCAAGACATGGGAAATGTTAACAATACAAATGCAGGATAGTCCATAGAATTGTCTATTACATATTGTACTTGGGGAATATTGCCTTGGGCTTTGGGAAGCAGCTGTGGGAAAATAATTTGGGGCAAAGAAGGCATATTCTTGAATTCACTTTTTTTTTTTTTTTTAAGATTTTATTCATTCATTTGACAGACAGAGATCACAAACAGGCAGAGAGGCAGGCAAAGAGACAGGAGGAAGCAGGCTCCCTGCCAAGCAGAGAGCCTGACGTGGGGCTGGATCCCAGGATCCTGGGATCATGATCTGAGCTGAAGGCAGAGGCTTTAACCCAGTGAGCCACCCAGTGGCCCTTGAACTCACTCTTATACCATGAGTTAATCTGCTATAACCAGGAACAGAGTATAACATTAGATGTGTAATGGGTATTAGCTGAATAAATTGGAAAAACCTTCAGATGTAAAATCTGATAACCGGGTAGGATGCCACACTAGGGAACTACCCACTGTCCATGGGACCGAGGAGGCTTTGATGAAATGAAGCTTCACTACTACGGATAGGCCAAACCTCCACAAATGCCCAGTTCCACGGCAAGCACACACCTAACGAAAAGTGTTCCTGACCAGGGATTAAATAACACTGTTCTCACGCACTTGTGTCAGCACAAATCACTTTCATGTTTTCTTTTCTGAGGCCTCAGCCAGTCGGTTGTTAAAACTTCTTCTCGACCTTCTTGGGGCTCTCTGCTCTACTGTTTTAAGCTGCTTGGTGACAATTGACTCAAAATGCCTAAAGTCCTTGGTGAATTATGGATGATAACAACAAAGATACCAGCCTAGGGATGTGAGGTGGGGGTGGAGGCAGGGGCTAAACGCTGGTGACCAAACACAAGCCACATGATTCTTTGTGGACCCCAAGGACAGGGCTCAGAGAATTGCTAGGATAAC